GGAAGGACGAGGCAAGGAGGAAAAAAGGAGGGCTGTTGGTTCGGTTTTTTTGGTTTGCGGGACCAGAGAAAAAATTTTGTTCTTCAAGTTGGTATTCAAATTTTGAGAAAAGAATATTTTATGAGGAAGAAAGGAGACACCTTTTCTTTCCCTTTACAGGAAAAAGTTTTCAAAAAAAAAAAAAAATACTGGAAAAGTTGTTTTTTTTACGGAAAAAAAGGAGGAAGAAAAAATTGTAGGAACTTGTAGGGTGATTTTTACCAACAAAAAGGGGCAAATATCAAAACACCTCTTCAAAAAAAAAATAAAAATAAATTAAACGGAAATTAAGGTATTTATGTTGCTTTTTTCCTACATAAAAAAAAAAAAAAAAAAACAAAAAAAGACACTTCGATTTTTTTCATTTTCTTTTCTTTTGTAATATAGGATAATTGACGTTTTTTCCAATTTTGTTATTTTAAACATTTGTATTATTACAATTATGTTATGAATATTGAGCAAAATTAACCATGGAAAGGGAAAAGTGCATTACTATTTAACAAAAAAATGAAACAATACGATTTTTTGGTTAAAAATAAGTTTGTAATTAAATTGGTCTTTATTTTCTAACCCTTTTTAAGGTTTTTGGATCCCGTAGTTGGTTTTTTACCAAGGGGGTGTTTTACCGTTGGATTTTACATTAAAAGTGGAAATTTTGAACTTATTGTTACGGAAAGATCAAATAGGGAGTTTTTTCATTTTAATTACTTTAAATTAATTAACTTTATGTTTTAACACTTTTTTTTGGATTTACTTATTTGGAAAACCCATTTAAGGTTTTGTTTGTGAAAAAATAGGACCATTTCTTTGATACAAAAAATTTTACACTTCTTCGTAACGTTTGGTTCAACCGATTTAATTTATTTAGTTTCAAGGTTTTGTGCTTTTTTCGGTGGTTGGGACCTCAACAACAAAAAAAGACCGGTGGACTTTACTTTTATTAATTGGTAGGGCTAAAAACAATTTACGAGAAGAAAAATGGGTTTTTGGTGCCATAAAAAAGGTCGGTCGATTCTTTTTGGCATTTTCGTTAGTATTTTGACGAACGGGAGCGGTTTTTATTCTAATCAACTACCTTTGGTAAAATAAATTTTTTGAGGGTACAACAAAAAACAAAACCCCCCCTTTTTAAGGTTCCTAATATTCCTTTACTTTGTTACTGCCTTTGGCAGACACCCGTTTCTTTTTTGGTTCTTGTTATTCGGATTTTTGTGGCGAGTTCATTTTTGTTCACTTGTTTACTTCTCATTCTTCACTTGACCGAACTTCCTTTTAAAAAAGGTTTTTGGAAGTTTCAAAAAAAGGAAAGTTGATGTTGTGTTATTGTACCGTAAATTAGGTTTTACTATTGATACTTTATAAGGTTCTATAATTCTAAGGTTCATTTCCCGGGTCTATTGTGGCCGCAGTTGGGACTTCTCCAGCAGCGCTTGGCGCTTGGTTGCTTTGGACAACCGCAGGCCGGCTGAGAGTGGGGACGCATTAAACGGGGCTTGAAGCGGCGGTTTGACCTTTTTGTGCGTTTAGGTGGCTTCCGGCTCGTTGCTTTGCATTACTTGAGCCGGTGTTACGCGACTTTTCAACCGTTATTTGAGAGGAATTGGGTCGTTCCGCCGGCCCAAAAAAAATGAAGGTAGTTGTAAGTTTTTTCTCCGTTTGTTTTGGCCTTGTTGGCCTTTCTGCTTCTTTCTTCTTTGGTCTTGAGGCACTATTTATTTGTTTGTTGTTTATTCGGCAAAAAAAAAGAAAAGGTAAAAAGTGACGAGGGCAGGTACAACTTTTGTAACTTTCGCTTTTTTGGTCCTCGAAGATTATTTTGGGGCTTACTCCAACTTTTAATCGGCAGGCACCAAAAAAAAAAAAAAACCACAAAAAGGTTAGAAAAGGTAAAAATTTTTAGTAAAACAGAATTGGGAGAGGTGAAGGCAATTAGGCGAATAGACGTACCATTGGACCTTTTAAAGGCGATTTTTCGGACCTTGTCGGTTTTTAGTCACATAGGGGACGAACCAAGGGCTGACAGGCCACCACAAGGGGCTGCGGCGGTTCTTTTTTTCCGGCAGTCCAGCCGTTCTATTTCTTGGCTGCCACCGGCCGCGGTGTTGGTTGGAGGCTTATTCCCGCAGCGGGGTGCGAGGTACAAGCCGGGCTGAAAGGTAAATGACCGGCTAAAAGCCGCGGGCCACAATTAGGGACCGGAATTTATACATTTTTCGACTTTCCTTTAGAAAGGTGGATTACCAGGTAAGTTCTCCGGTTTGGCAGGGAACCAAAGGACAATCTTCTACAGGGGCGGAACTAAGGTTACACCGGGGGAACACAAGGAAACACTGAAAAAATTAAGAATTTACTAATTATTAGTTTATGGTATAAATAAACTAAAATAAGACTATACCCACGGTTTGACAAGTCTTTTGTTGTTTAAAAGGGTTGACCCCTTTTTTAGGTTTTTTTTATTAGCAAAAAACTTTAAAGACTAAGGACTTAAACTTAGTTACCTGGACACGGTTTGGTTTTTACATTCGTGGTTTTCGGTGAAAATTGACGACACTTTTATTAGAAGGGGGTGTTCGGGGGGGGAGTGATACTTCTCTGGAAAATGTATTGGTCTAAGTTGGAAAAACAGGTCCAAAAAAAAAAAAGGAGAAGAGAAGAGCAGGAACATTTAGGGGTGAGGGGAACCGGAGCTTTGGCCTGCGGATGAACCCATCGGGGACTTTGCTTGGTGGGGTCATTCCAAGTTCAGGTCTTTCCCTCACTGACTCTGCGAGAGCGGAGGAGCTGTCCATGGCTGAAGGGGCCTGCTCTTGACGGCCCCCAGCCCCTGCTGCGAGCCCCCCAGGGGCCCTGTAACACAAACCTGTTTCCAGCAGGAGTTCGGTGGGTGTGTATGGAACGAGGGCATGGCCTGGGTAAACGGAGGTCACGCCGGGGGTGGAAGAGTGAGGAGAGCCACCTTCGCCAATAAATATTTTCCTGACAGTTAGATGAAGGTTTGTTTTCAAAGCTCTCATCCATGTGTGTCTTTGTGAAGGCTCGTGTTACTATTCTCACTGGACGAAGCTCTGAAATGTGAAAATGAGAATGTGCGGTCAAACAGAGAAAACACTCTAGTCAGTGAAAGTAAGAATGAAGGAATGTGAGAGAAATTGAAAGCAGTTTATTTTTATGGTTCCATGAATGTACCATAAAAATCCCATTTAGCTCTTTTTGACTTCAGAACATGACTGGTAATAAGTAAACTTCTGGCACCAGCTGCATGTGCTAACCATACACACGGAGCGGAGGCTTATAAAGGATTTTGAAAAAGACAATTGAGAGACAATCTATCATTGGACACTCACAGACCAAACAGCAAGTCAGGGGTGGCCAACTAATCAGGCAGTTTGCACAGGCAGCACAGCATGGGGTCTTTGAGTGGATAAGTGGTCCCTCCCATAATGTCAAGAGTAAAGCTTGTACCAGGGGTTAGGGAGAGGTTGGAAGGGAGTTAATGAGATGACTGGTGGGGTGATCAGCAATGAGAGGTTTGAAGACCTATGACATGGCACAAGACACACATTGATAGAGACGGAATACTTTTTAGATTTATGAAGTGTTTGTTTATTGTCGATCTCGCCGGGTGGCCACGAGGAACGAACAAGTCAGATCCGACAGAAACAGTTAGAAGTGAGCGGTTTTCACTCAGGGCACTGCCATTTAATTTTGAAATGTTTTTTTAATGATATATTACTTCTTCACTTGTTGCCTCTCTCACAGCATAATTGCCATGTTAGACTACAAGCCTGGAATAGTAAATCATAGGCTAGAATGTGCACAGTACTAAAAACACAGTGAACCCATATTTCTGGCTACATGACCGAAATTGTGAAGGCTATGTTGAAATTGCCCATGATTCATTGGTTAAGGAATGTAATATCATCCAGGATAACATAAGGATGTCTGTCGCTTGATTGTTGCTTGAACACTAATACAAACCACTTCTATTCACAATTCAGTCTTTTTTCAAGATTTATGTTCATAATACTTAGTGAAAACCTCATGACCTG